AAGCTATATGCGCAAGGAATTTCCCCTTAGATAGCATTTATAGCTAATATAGCTAATTCTTTGCGCGCTAAGCGTAATCTAGGCTATGTTTGCATAAACTAGCCTAGTACGTTTGTAAAGTGTTATTTAGAGCTTAAAGTAAAGTTTTAAGCGCAAGTATAGTTAAGAAATATCTAGCTAATTATAAACCCTATCTTGCTAAAGTTGTACGTGTTATTATCCTAGATGCTATACTTAGCTTTAATATTCTCCACAAGGCTAAACCTGCCCTAAATTACCCTAGGACTCTTGTAGAGAGCTCTCTTATAGTTGTACTTACACTTAAACATTACTTTAAGCTCTAAATAACGCTTTACAAACGTACTAGGCTAGTTTATGCAAACATGGCCTAGATTACGCTTAGCGCGCAAAGAATTAGCTATATTAGCTATAAATGCTATCTAAGGGGAAATTCCTTGTGCATATAGCTTAAGTATAGTCTTAACAATTACCTGCTCCTTTTTATTGCCTAGCCTCTGTGATTTAGCTGTAGAATTAGCTTGTAAAGGTTGTCTAGCGCTGTAGTTATTTGTTGTCTTTTATAAGACTCTACACATAGCTATAGCACATTTTTTTAAGAGTTTTATGTTTTATTTAAAAGCTTAGAGCGCAAGCTGTATCTAACATTCTTTTAGCGCGTCTAAGTAGTGTTGTGGGGAATGCATTAGTGTAGGAAGGGTGGTTTAGTGGGGTCTTAGCAAAAGTGAGCGACTCGGGTGTGTGAGCAACTCGCCTATGAAGTACGTTAAGTAATAGACATAAATAGACTTATTAATAAGATCTAAAATATATCTAAATACATTTGTAAAAAGCTTACATAGGCTTAAGCTTTTTAATAAGAGTACATAAACTAATCTTAAACTCTTACCCCTATGTATGCAGCTAGCAAGAAGGTCTAGCTAGACGCTAGAAATATTTAAATAAACTAATAATTAAAGAAACTTAATTAGAAGAACCTTAGCCCCTTTATAGTAGCCTATATAGTCTTATTATACGCTTACTAATTAATCCTACCTAACAGCATAAAGATACACCCTGTGTTCTACATATTATTGCTGCGCTAAGTAGCCCTTAAATCTAACTATCTACCTAGACAGCTAAACTTACTACTTAAACCTATTATTATAAATAATAAACTAGAATACATTATAAAAGATGTTAAATAGATTTAGTTTAATAAGAAAAAACATATCTATAAATACTTTATAAAATAGACTAGATATAATAAACTGTTGTAGGAACCTATAAAAGCCTTATAAGAGAACTCTGCAGTAACTTAATTCTATGCCTAATACCTATCTAAACTAAACCTGTACCCTAACAAAAACAACCTAATGCTAGAATTACTAATGTAAAGGATTCCCTTTTTAATAAAGGGGGGGGTACTGTCACAGTATCCTCCCTAGATCCCAGACATAACTGTATTAGACGTGTACTAGAGTATTATTAGTGCACGTCTAACATAAATACAACATAACATAGACATAAACTTAAGCATAAACTACTTTAACACTAACTAAACCTAGAATAGGCTTAATTTATACTTAAAGCGCTTAGACTTCTAAGCTAAGTATTTAATTACTAATTTTTTTCTAAACCTTCCTGTTCCTCACACAATGTCTTGTACCTACTATAATACCTCACGTAGTAATTAAACTAGACCTCTGTGAAGCTCTATAACCTTACTCGTGCACAATCGTGACATGCTATTACTATTATACAACATAATATTTATTACTATAGCTAACATGTGCTGCTTAATAAGCAACTATAATAATTTTTTAGTGGTAGTTTTAGTGTTTTTGCGATTCTTAGTTGAGTTTTGTCACTTTACCCTTTAATTGTCCGCCGTAACCTTCTTCGGAACTTGGCTCATGATGCTCCGTATCCCGACCTCGGGCCAATCGCCGTCTCTCGATCTAGACATAGTGGCTGTCGTTCAATAAGATTCCATATCTGCGACACGAAGGAAGCCGACCGCCGTCGGAAAGAGAACGATAGGAGCCTTTCAGAAGTTCAGGAGGTATCGAGAGTTTTCTTCATGAGTCGCTCGTGGGGGATTTGCGCCCCCCTTTTAGAGTAGCGTATGTCTGCACTTTATCAAACCACCATGCCACTTGCTAGCCTCAATCCGAAGCACACCCTTTAAAGGTTTCATACCGATGCTAGAGGGATCAAAATGACATGGTGGCTATTACTGTTTGACGGTTCCTCGGTTGGATTGTTGTACCAGGCTCAAGTGGCCTATTCAACCATGTGCCAGGCCATCTTCTCGGAGCATCCTTTCCCAAAAGATGGTAATTTTGACCGTTCTCCACTCTTGCCGCTCGTATTAAATAGTGTGCCAAACTCCAAAATGCGATCAACCTCGGAAATTTTCAGCAAGAGGTGCTCCAATCCTCTTACGGACTAGTGCAGAAGCATCCACAACCTCAGCCGCACAAGGCCCCTATCTCATGAACTTAGACGCTAGAACTACTTCGCTCCGCTCAATCTCTACTGATATCATTTGTCATTATGACCTCTTCCAACAGGCTTACTTTGTTTCGTCCCAAGCCTTTAAATTTATAGGGCTGTCGTTCAGAAAACCCCACCGCTGTACTCCGTATACATCCTGAGGGCCTTGCAAGATCTTGCCGATCTTAGGAATCACGTTCGCCAACTGAAAGCCAGCAGGGCTTTCCTAGACGGTGTTGCTGAAACTAAAAATTGAACAAAACTGTGGATCTGCTTTCTAATCTGACAAGTTTAGCTATCTTGGACAAAAATACATCCTTAGAGTAAACCACAGTATTTCTTTTCTACATTTCTTAGCTATAATTCTCTGAAGACTCTCAAGTTTGACTAGTGGTACTAGATTTTAACAGAGTGGTTGCGACAATGTATGCTGCTTCCGGAGATGGAGGGCATCTTTTGCCGAAATCTTGTCTCGCATGGATTGACCTCTAATTTTTACGAAATCATCAAGGACAGCATTCTTCAGTCATCACTTGTGGATCTAGCCATATCCCCTATTAAGAAGTTCCACTTTATTCATTGCTCGTCTTGTTAATGATGTCTCGATGTCTCAAGAGGCTGGCTATCGACGATATAGGCGCGAAACAGATACGAGAGAAAGATCCTCCTGGTTCCTTGAATCAGTCCAACAATACCGGCATACATGCGACTTGCCTATTGCAACGGGCTGACCGGATCTTCAAGTATGTGTTCCCCCAAAGTTCACAATACCTGCCAGATACTGCATCCGTCAGGAGAAACTTCAATACGAGGCGTCTGTCGAGGATATCTCCGACGCTACGTGAGTTTAAGGTACTTATAAATTTAAATTGGTTCTTATTATCCACATTGCTAATGGGGCAGTAGATGTCCGTTACTTCTCAAGATACGGTTACGAAATGGTTGCCATATGGCCGCAAGAAACCTAGTTCACTTAATTAGTTGTACTAGCTAGAGGGAAACAAGCGAGATTCCAGTCCCTCGGGTCGGTTTTATTTGTTGAGCTGTTGGAAATCGACGATGATGATGCCAGTTCTATTCTGGAATGGGAGCGTCCTGTGGAATTGAATGTACCCTTAGGGCGGCCAAATTAGACTAAATACGGTCTACTCAAGAGTTGGTTTGACGATTTCCTGTCTTCAATTGCCGACAACAATCTACAGCAGTCAATGGCCAATACCATCAGCGGCACAAGCGAAACAATCCAATCACCTGTTCCTCCCATCCAATCCTGTGGACAACCCGTGGGAATCCATCGGACTGTTGAGTTATTCTCAAGCCAACCGGCAGAAGTGAAAGTGAGAGAATAGCCTTGGCACTGGTTATCACTTTCGGACCCCCCCAAAAATTGCGTCTATGAACTGTCCAGTTGTTTCACCCACCTCAAGTTAGCTCCCTTCACTACATAAATCTGACTTTTGTCACCAACTCCACTCCCTTTAAGCACTAGCAATGTTAGGACAACAAGGACGACCTCCCAGTCAAAGACAGTTCCAAAACCAAGGGCAAACGCCAAGTCAAGGACCCCAACCCAGCCAGCAAGGGTCACCAAATCCTAGAGACCTTCAGCTCCCCAATCAGCTGGAACACCTCTGGGGAGGTTTCGACTTAACTGACGAGCAACGGAGGGATCGATATATTAGGGAGATCCGAGCTTTCCAAGAGGCCCATAACGCCGTCTACAGCGAGCGGACGCGCAATCCACCTCCACCATACTACCCAAACCATTTCGGAGGTCCTAGCGCTCTCCAACGCCCCAACGTCCCCCAAGCCAACACTCCCCAAACCAACCCACAAAGTGCTGCACCTGCCAACATGGACCCAGAGAGCTCTGACGAGGGCAGTGATGCCGGAGCTGAGCAGCAACAGGAACAGAAGAACAACGATACCTTCACCCTCGATGTTAACTCCTCCCTCCGAGTCCGCGGTCACGGAAGCATTATCGGCTTCACGCCCGTCAACCCTGCTGAGGTTGCCCGAGACACTATTCGGGTGTTAAATCAGAGCGGTTATCTCGCAGCCAACCGAAATGAAGAAGGGCAGAACCATCGGCCTCGCAACCTCAACATTAACATCAACAGTGGGGTCACGGTGGTTGGAGACAAGAATATCGTTGGGAGCGGACTCGAGGAAGTAGCGAGACAGGCGCGCGTTCAGAGTGAACGAGGTCAATTACCGCAGAGGGCGGATGGACAACCCAAGAGGCAGATTATCGACGGTGTGCTACAGCCTCCAGGCGGAAATGGACAGCAGGCTGAGCCAATGCAAGGCCAATGCCAAGGACAAAACAATGCGCAAGGGCCAAGAGGTCAAGGCCCGGGTCCTCGTCCGGTCGTGGGTTCTGGTCAAGGGCCGTGGCCTCTCGATCCAAGAAGCCCAACCCGTGCCGCGAGCGCAACGCCAGGTATTAGTGTTCCACGAGCAAATCTAACGCAGGAACGGGATAATGCTAACAGAAATGGAGCTCATTCGAAGTCTGAAAAGCCAAACTAGCAGAGGAAGATGAACCCAACATTTTGTGTTTATGTCATGTCTATCATTCACCACAACAAATGAATCATCCGTAACGGGCGGAGGCAGAATCTCGAGAGTGATTTTCCCATTCGGAAATAGAATCTGCGGACCCATATTTTCTGCGCCAAAATTTTAGACAAGCAAGGCATGGAAGGATCCGAGGAGAATTCGCCAATAGGACGTGATGAAGGATTAAAGCTGCATCTCCGTAGGGCAAAAGGAAGCTTGGGGTGAACGGATATCAGGTAGACAACTTTTCACCACTCTTTGGTCTGCTTTGTACTTCTGGACACATCCCTTTCTCACATACCTCGCTCATCTCTCACATTGCTGTCTAAATCTGCATAGTCTGATACTGAAATGCTTTCCCCTGAGTAGGTGTTTCTCGATCGCAAGGAGCGCCGCCAATGTGTTAAGAATACCATCGATCTCTGACACATAACTGGCCCAACCATTCCCGTTACGCTGTTCTTGAAGAACGTACTGAAAACTTTCGGGGAAAAGCCAGTTCCCATCTGGGCTCTCAATCATCGATACCCAGGCTGTGTCGTAGACAGACAGTGTCCAGGACCCTTCATACCTGGAGGTACACCCCTTAGCAACATAATGAATTAGTTCTTCCGCCTTTTCCTCAATCTGCTTGTGGTCCATGGCCACCGGAAAGGAAGTGTGGGGGTAGAGACTTGTGTGAACTGAAAGCTACAATGGACGTAAAAGAAGTGCGTAGAAGGATAACGCTCGCTGGTTATGAGCTGATAAGTCCTCATCACAATAAATGGACGCCGCTTTCCGGCATTCTTGGGAAAGGGGACCATGAGGTTTACCACGTGATTGCGCTTGAGAAGATAGAACACCAGCACTGATTATTTGCACCGAAAAAGTTACTAGAGATGTAGTTAGCTGCCGGTTGAAGAACGGAGAAGGCGAAGCCGATGCCTCCATTCATACCTCCAGTCTTTGAAAGTGGCGTTTGAAGGACCTGGGTGCATGTCTTTAGCTAGGATGTCATTTCTTAGCGCTGCGGATAAGTTCTTGTCATTTGCGGCGAAGATCTTTCAATATTGCAACAGCCATTCCATATTGCGGCGAAGTTCTCTGAGCCTTCAACCCCTATCAACAAATCGGCAATACATTCCAAGTGTAGAGATATTGTTCCCCTGCCATAATAGCGCTGTCGCTCCTTATAAAGTGACAGTTAATTTGTACAGTCCATTCTTTCTTGTTGCATTCCAACCAGTATGTGCTCTGTCGACCCCATCACTTCAATCAACCCCGAGGATGCGAGAGATGAGAAGAAGGCCATTACGACAGGTGTGCAGGAAGAGTCCATTATGGAGCTAAGTGCCACACAATATGAATATCCAACGGGCATTTCATTGGCTGCGACACTCTTGTCCCTCGGTCTCGGTACTTTTCTAATGGCCCTTGACACGACTATTATCACCGTCGCGATTCCAGAGATTTCTACACATTTCAACGCTCTTGATCAAGTTGGGTGGATTGGGTCCGCCTATCTCATAACACTAACGGCGTTCCAACCGATCGCGGGGAATCTATACAAAAACTTTGACCCCAAGATTACGTACCTGGTGTTTGTGGTTTTCTTTGAAGGCGAGTGACAGCTAATCTCTCGTTCGCGTAAGTAATTGAAAAACGAAAGACTGACATATTTGAAGTTGGTTCAACCCTTTGTGCTGCCTCTCCAGCGGTGGAAGTCTTCATTCTGGGCCGAGCGATCGCCGGGATGGGGGCAGCTGGTCTACTTCAAGGCGCACTAGGAATTCTCACCTATATCTCCCCACTGGAGAAGCGTCCTTTGTATATGGCAGTCGTTATTAGCGCCTTTGGAATCACTTGCAGTGTCGGGCCAGTCGTTGGAGGGGTCTTCACGGATCGAGTTACATGGAGGTGGTGTTTCTGGATGTAAGTGGACCCAATTTGGTGTGTGGTGTGCTGATATCTTCGCAGAAATCTTCCGCTGGGCTTCATCACCTTCGCGCTTGTCGCGTTTTGTTTGAATCTGAAGCAACTCGCTAGTGTCCCAGGGCGACAGCTTCCGTTAAAGACAAAATTAAAGAGAGTGGACCCGATCGGTATGACTCTACTCCTCGGCTTTGTGTCGTGTTTGTGTATTGCCCTCCAATATGGTGGCAATACTGACCCTTGGAGCTCGTCTCGAGTGGTTGGGTTGCTAGTTGGATTCTGTCTCTTGAAGGTTTTGTTCTGGATCACCCAGTGGAGATTGGGAGAACATGCGCTAATCCCGGTGCGCTTCCTTCGCCAACGAACTGTTTCTTTCGGCTCTTTGTTCCTGTTCTGCGAGAACATGTCGAATTACCTGGTAGGTGTTGTTAATACCGTTTCGAACGTAGGCGAGATGGAGCTGACGACTGGCAGAAACTTTACTACCTTCCATTTTATTTCCAAGCTGTGTTAGGTACATCTGCCGTTCGCAGCGGAGTCAACTACATTGCGTTGGCAGTCCCTCAGTTCTTTGCTTTGCTGCTGTCTGGAGGCTTGGTCACTCAGTTTGGCCACTACGTAGGGAACAGCTCTCCTCGCACATGAAATATATAGTATTTGGGATGGCCGCTGATACAAGGACCGCACAGATGCCTGTTATAATGATTGGACAAGTCATTTGTGCTGTCAGAACGGGGCTAATGACCCAGATATCTACGACGACGTCAGCCCCTCAATGGGCCGCGTTCTTAGCGGTGACAGGAATTGGGCTTGGAATGGGTATAAATGCGCCTCATATCGCAATCCAAGCCGTGATGGAGACGTAGGTCGATCGGGAGTCATTCGATGGAGAATATTGACTAATACTCAACAGAGATACTGATGTTTTTCTCGCAAACGGTAACGGCTCTTGCGAAATGCCTCCGGGTTAGGAAGCTGACTGACCGATTTGATAGGTGTCGCGACATTTTTTTCGCAGCTCGGAGGGTATACATGCCTTAAAGCCTATCAATACACGTTCCTAACCCGAGACCAGAACAATCGCGATACCGATTGGCAATGCTTTCCTTCTTAACGGCCTTGGAAAATACATCCCAAAATATGCTAAAGAAATTGCGGTGGAAACGGTTGTCCATGCTGGCCCACTAGCTCTAAACGAGCTTTCTCTGTCGGCCGACACGGTCTATGGCCTTCGATTGGCCTATTCCAAGGCGATCCAGCACATTCTCATATTTGCGTTAGCTGTTGTTTGTTTTTCAATTCCGGCTGCTTCTGGGATGCAATGGTTGAACATTAAGAAAGTATCTCAAGAACGGAAGAAGCGTAAGACAACGAGCCATGCGAACGATAATGAGCAAGTTGATGTGGATGAGAAGACAGAGTGATGGAAGAGTGCGAGGAGTTGTGAGGTTGGGATGGACAACTTGGGTGGAGACCGGTGACGAAGCACTTCTCGGGTGGCATGGAATTGAAGGAGATACTAGGAAGAAGACTGCGTGCATCCATCACAGGAGACATCCCCATTCCTTACAACATATGGGGGTTTGGTTCTACTTGTCGGCCGAGGCAAGGCCATTCAGGTTTACCGATCAACATCCAGTAGGAAGACTATGTTAAGTCTCTTACAGAGCTTAGCTTCCATGAAGTAAAATATGCTTCATTTCGGAGAGCATGCACATATGAATGTTACGGTCCTGGAGGATTTAGGTAGGATTCGGATAAGCAGACCCTTGGTGAGTTTATCACTCCACACTTTGAGCGATTCTTTTTTGGACTCTAGAGTGGGCATTTGTTTGCAGTTACGGAGCTCTCCATGCTCTAGCCACCTACACTCCTTGACCTACTGCTGCCTAGCCACGCCACCTGCTGAAGCCTAGAGCTATTGGTGGCCTTAAGTCACATGATGGGTTCATCTAGTACTATATAAACCCGTAGTTGCCCTCATTTAGCAATGCAATCCAGTTCCTCATGCCTCTGGTGCTCCTCCTAGCTTCACAGCATTCGTGTAAGTCATCCAACAGATAATAGGGAGCATTTCTGTTGGAGCATTTCTGTTAGAGCTACTTCAGTGTCGGCAGAGCACAATTCCCTTCTTTAGGAATTTGTCCGAGCCAAGCACTATGAAGCTTATTATTCGCATGAAGCTTATTACCGCACCATGTTGCTTCTTTTAGTATTACAAAGCTCAGCTACAAGCGGAATCGAGGAAGGAGTTTGAATGAGATAGGATCAATGACACGGATGTCCAATCTTCTCCAAATCGTAAGTTGGTTAAATCTCCTCGATTTTTCACTGCCTTGCTCTCTCATCCACTTCGCCATGTCTCGCTACAGAGCCTGCAATTACGATCATTTTAGCGACTTCTCTCAAGACCTTCCATCAACCGAACAAAGCCGAGCTTCGAGGAGAATTACTGGCCCTAGTTCAAACATACCTCGATCCACTACAGAACTATTAAATGTTCTCTTTCGAATCCTCAAACTTCGCCGTCGAAATTATCGTCACTGCGCGAGAACAAGACGAGGAAGAGGAGTCTGAATCCGACCACAAAATACTCGTAGCCTTCACTTCCACGCTGCTTTTAAAGACTCCTGGAATCCCAGGCTTTGTTCTGCACACTGGATTAACAGTAATCCATCCAAGGTACGCAGAGGAGACATTATGAGGAACTTGTTTGAACGCGTCTTCCTGCAAGTCTTGTCAAAGTATCCAGAAGGCGTGTGGCTCACCAATATCGCCGAAGTACCGGGCAGCCTTGTGCATACCTCTCCCAGTTCCACCACCTCATTATGTTTGGCTTTTTCATTGACCCGCGCAACCCTTCTGCCTCGTTTACCAATCGCTACAAAAGTCTCATCTTTTTCACTACCATCTGCAAAAACCATTTTTCCCCAGCAAAACTGCGTTGTGTCTTTGTCTCTTCACCGGGAAGACCTACAACTAGCCCCTTTTTAATATATCTGCTCCTGTCGGTTGACCTGGGTTCGATCGAACGAACGTACGCCCAAGGGGCGTACCAAGAGGTGAGCAGGCAAAGATCTTCTTGTTATTAACTACTGCCCTCTCTCTTTGTACAAAGAAAGAGGGCTCTTAAGTACACATAGCCCCTAACGCACAGGCTAGATAGCTAATGTTTTAGGCAACCTAATTTAGCTGTACGCGTGTACAGACACAGCTATACTTATGTACAGACACTAGCAACTTTTTACTTTTATAGAGTTGCTTGCTTATCTGTATGTTAATCCTACTTCTTTTTCTTCTCCTCCTCTTTGCTCTCTCTCTGTCCTCTCCTAGAGTGGACCCTTAATACCTCTTCTATTTATAATATCCCCTAGCTTCTTAGCCTGCGTACAATTTGCCTTCCCTCTAGGATAGTGCCTGTGCTCTGCGTAGGCAAGCAATAGCTCTTGCCTAATTGCA